AAATACTTATGGAATGCATATAATGAGACAGAGATTACTCCAAGGTGCCCAGGAACCAACAAAGAGGAAAACAGACAATAAACAAAATTTGTACTCTTGAGAGGTTATAGGGAAACAGATAACAATATTGGTAAAGCAATAAAATAGCATGTTAAGTAGTAGTAAGGGCTAAGGGGAAAACAGCAAGAAAGAAGAACAAGAAATATTCAAAGTGGGATACAATTTTTTTTGGGGGGGATCGGTCGTGGGGCTTGAACTCTGGGCTTGGGCATTGTTCCTGCGCTCTTCAGCTCAAGGCAAGCGCTCTACCGCTTGAGCTACAGTGCCACTTCTGTTTTTCTGGTGGTTTATTGGAGTTAAGAGTCTCACAGACTTTCCTGCCTGGGCTGGCTTTGAAAAGTGATCCTCAGATCTCAGCCTCCTGAGTAGCTAGGATTACAGGCATGAGCCACCCGCACCAGGCTCTCAAAGTGAGATACAATTTTACGTATTTGATAATTTTTTTGATGCCATCAGGAAATATTTGTTTTGCTTTTTACATCCTTGGTTTAAAAAAATTCTGAGCCTTTAAGAGATTAAAAAAATGTGCACCAACAAGTTTCTCTTTACATTTGTAGACATATCTTTTAACATGCACTGATTATAATCTTAAAGTCTAGCAACAGAAGAAACTAAGAGCTTCAAAATATCTAAGTAGCTGATTGGTATGGTGTATTGCAACCTAACCACTGCTTTGGTAATTACCACAAAAACTAGACATACTATATCCATTTGGTAAGAGGATATTTCAAAATGATTTACAAACATAACTGTACAGTACTTCCTTTCATTTTTTTAATGAGCAAATTGTATTAATACACTACCTTCCTAAAATATATTGATAAACTGACCATTGATTGATTTCCCTGTCATTTTAAAATCTGTGATCACATTTTACTAAATTATTAAATATAAAAAGAATGAACAGCCTCTCCCAAAGAACTCTATTATCAGTCCACATTCAATGTCTTTCTAACCTGTGTAAATATAGTTATCAGAACTTTATAAAAATGTACACATAGGGCTGGTAAGGTGGCTCAGTGGTAGAGCGCTTGCCTTGCATGCCTGAGGCCCTGGGTTCGATTCCTCAGCACCACATAAGCAAAAAGAAAAAAGCCGGAAGTGGC